AAAAAAAAAAAAAAAACAAAAACTAATGGTGACTAGGTTCACAGAGCGGTCTGAGTGCAATAGTCTGTTTATTTTTAACTTATATTAACCCATAACTAAAGATAATGTACGATTTTTTATATGTACATATAACCATAATTATAAGAGAGAGAAAGCATGAAATAGGCTATCAAGAAATAGAGTCTGAGGAAGAAAGCAATAATTGTTTTGTTCAATCTCAGAGCTTCTTTTAAAGGTGACAATGGAAGGTCCCGTTGACATGAAGCCCATTGCTCTAGTTCCCTGCTTTATAAAGGGAAGTTAAGCCTAACCTGCTTAACTACAGAAGTATTTCAAGGTAACCAAGATTTTCCGTTTCTTCTGTCACCTCCCCAGCTCAGGCCATGATTACTCATGCCTGGAACTGTTGCAGTCCCCTCACTCGATTCATGCACGTGTGTGTATATTCTGCTAACTGCCTCTAGTAGCAAACCTCTTTGGTCCAGCCTACACATCGCTGCTGGATTAAACCTCTCCAAACACCATTTTTATGTGAAGCAAAGTTTTTATGTGACAGTAGGACCATACCTCACTTTTAGGAGAAAAGAGAAGAGTAGGATTCCAAGATAGACACTTCCTTTACTGGTGTTGCTGTTATTGTAGAGGGATAAGATTTCCTCCTAAAACAATTAGTTATGAGTTTTCTTCTTGGTTGTGTTTTTTTGAAATGTTTGTGTTCTTTCGATTTTTGGAAACACTCTTTGCTTGTAGAAACTGAAATCCTGGATACTCTTTTGAAAAAAACACACAAAACTGTGTACTTTTTTTACCTTAAAATAATGGAGCCTTATTCTGCTCCCCAGGCCCTGGTGAGCCCAGGGCATATAGTGCTGGCAGATTCTACAAGCTCCCCAGCAACCAGCTGGGACACAACACAGGAGTGGGCACATCTCTGAGCCAGCAGGAACTGCTTCTTGCTCATTTTTGAGAGAAGGAGAGAGACAGACCGGACCCTGTGGAACAATCTATTGTTCATTCCAGTCCCAGCCAGCACTTTCTCTTCCCAGCTCATTGTTTTTTTTCCTCCTGCGTCGATGGTGCACTTCTGTTGCCATGGCCATAAAACATTATTTTCCTTATAGTTGCTGTCAGGAAGTCTAAAACGTTGAACTTTCCTTTTGTTTTTCTCTTTGTTCTTCCCCACCTTCAAATGCCAGGGAACTCGGTTTTTATTAACTTTTTTCAGTCCTTGAGATTTCTTCTTATTCTTCAGGTTAACATTTGTTTCAGTACTATATTTAATCAGTGGTTGTGTTTAGCCTATTTTCTAAAATAACTCTAACTAGTATCTCCACTGTTTTGGTTGTTTTAAATTCGTTTTGTTCTAAAAAATCATGAGCTGTTTTGTTTCTTCAGTTACTGTGTCTCTCAGGGAGGCTTCTGCCAACTAACCTCAGATCAGTGTGTGTGCCAATTAGTCACGTAAACTGTGAGTCACTTGGACTGGGATGCACTCAGTGACAGAGGGCTTGTTGGGGGTAAGGCACTGTGCTGGTTGCTGAACTGAATGTAAAGATGAATAAAAATACCAGCTGTCAAGGAATTTACAGTCTCATAATACTAGCATGTAAATTACTCTGTGTTCCCACACCAAATATATGTTTTATTGTAGTACTTGATACATGTGTTAATAGTTATTATTAATTACTTATGACACAAAATACATTAAGAGCCACAGAATGGTATAATGTGTTAGAGAGGTTTAAGGCAGTTCATTCATAGCCTTGCCATTCATGTTTCTCCTCCATTTCTCCTTTTATTGTTGACAGAGATAAAGTACAGTCATGTATCACTTAATGACAGGGTTGCGTTCTGAGAAATACGTCCTTAAGTGATTTCGTCATTGTGGGAACATCATAGAGTGTACTTACACATACTTAGATGGTCTAGTCTACTACACACCTAGGCTCTATGGTACTAATCTTATGGGACCACAATCATGTATGTGGTCTGTCTTTAACCAAAATGTCATTATGCTGCTCATGACTGTAAACCTAAATCACTGAGTGAAGGTTGGAATATATGCTACCGCTTGAGATCAGTATTCTAGACTGCCTTCTACCATGTTATGAGTTAGTGATGCCACTTTCGTCTGTCGTCTTCTTCTCCTCTTTGTTCTTCAGCTACACTAGCCTTTAACACATGGTTCATCCTGCCCTAGGACCTTTGAACATATAATCCATTTCGTTGGAAATGTTCACCCTCCTTCTTTGCTCCTTTTCATCCTTCAGAGCTCAGTTCCACTGTCACTTCTCAAAGACCCCTTTTCTGACCCCCAGGCC